CTAAATCATCTAGAGAGCAGTTGTTCTGGTTTTTTCATACTTATTTTAGACTTGTTTATAGGCTATGCTCGCTTCTTGCTGGTGATCAACGTGGATGGGTCGGGAAAACTTTACCCTCATTTTCAGAATTCAAATGTTAAAATCATCATTAGTTGCCGTCTAACAGCTTACCGAGTTTCTGAGTTCTAGAGTAGGTTGTCTTTGGTGATTCGCGGATCTCCTGTACATTTTTTTGCAATTTCAAAGAGAAAAAGGAGAGACAGCTCAGATCATGTTCAGCCTTGATGTTTGGCATTATAAAGTGCAGAGGCAAGCGGAGAGAAAGAAAAATGGTGTAAAAGTGGTAAAAACCGGTAGTAGGATGCATATAATTCTATTTGCTTTCGTTGCCCGCTCCATACAGTTGTCATAAGTTCCTTTTCATTCCTACAGCGCCCCCAAGGCTGATCAAACAGGCCCCGGCTCCTGAAGAGCACCGTACAAGAGAGCACGTTCCAATTACTTTTTATTGCCTCATCAAGGATGCCAACCGGACCAAAGCAGAAGTAGTCTGGAGCAGAGATGGCGCCCCACTTTTGGTCTCTTCGAGTGGTGATTACTTCGTGAGCCAGAACCATGGCCAAAGTCTGACGATCATCCGGCCGACTGTGGAAGAGCAGGGCTTGTATCAGTGCGAGGTGAAGAACAGGGCGGGTGAAGACAGTCATACGTTCAAATTTACTGTTTTAGGTACGATATGTGACATAAAAGATTATTATAATAATTAGTTTATCCTACTGTTATATTGTTTAAGTAGTGTGTACTTTCTACATTAAACTATTCCAAACATTTGAGACTAGGCGAGAAATTAAACGAGGGTGAGTAGAAGAAACCTTGAAATTTAGTGATTTTTCGATCAACGGTTATCGGTAGTACATCATCTTCTTATGAAAATGATGTTCATTATGAATTTATCCATTAATACAGCACGAATAAATAAAATAAATTTTATCTGAGTTCGTTGAACTTCAGTCATTCGACTTAATATTTGTTAATATAATAATTGCCAAAATATTCAGCGAAGAGGCATCCAAACTAACTGTTTCCTGTTCTAAATGCTATCGGCCGAAGATTGGACCTTTTAAGCGAAGATGATTACTACAAGATTATGCGCTACTTCAAATGTAGAATACTTTTTACCAATTTAGAGCCTTTCTTTCAGTTAATTGTTATTTAGTCATCTATGAAATTTGGTGTGCCCTTACATCACACATTTAATTGAAAATTCTTTTTTATTTTTAATCCACTTGGATGCATGTATACAAGCCTAAGGAAAACTTATTTGGCGTTTAGCCAAATACTTCACTGATGCTATTTTTCCCTTCAACCCAAACCCACTCTTCCCACAGCCCCACCTCGCTTTCCACCAGACTTTGTGAGCTACCGAGAGCGTATAGCTGTTCAGCTCGGCGATCCAGTGCACCTGTCCTGTCCGGTGCGTGGTTCTCCTCGACCCATGGTCACATGGTTCCACAAAGGCGTTCCTCTCCCAGTAACCGCCCTGGCCGGTGGCCTGGGGCCGTCGGGAGCTAGAATCTCGGGGCCCGGTTTGCCGAGTGCCTTTCTGCTCGAACCCTTCAACTCTGTCGGCACTGGAGGCCGTGGCGGAGGTGCACTTGTGTCCCTTCGTCACAATGACATTGACTTCGGAGTGCCGCTCGGAATTAGGAGTGAAAGCCAACAGCAACAGCAACAGTTGCAACAACAACAGCAACAGCTACTTTCACTGACGGAACTGCGATTTCAAGCGCGCAAGGAGGATGTTGGCGAGTATCAATGCTTGGCGAGAAACGAGGCTGGAAACGTCTCTAAAACTTATGAATTGGAGATAAGAAGTGAGTGCTTCATTGGCTTCCTGTACATTTTATGACATTTTCTCTATTGAAAATAATTACACTGCTCAAAAGAATACTAATACTCAAATTATTATTAACAAATATCCGTATAAACTTCAAAATCTGACGCCTCAAAAGTACATCTATTTCGGCTAACATATAAACAAACAGATGGATGAATGGAGGACTAATTTTTGGATATGATACACCAAAATGGCTTCCTCAAGAGTTTGCGGAGGAAGATCGTCTTATTAGTTTGAACACCATTCAACGTCACTTTAATGTCACTTCCTATATGTGTTCTGTCATAGGTATGAAGAAAGTGGGAAACTAGGAAGAGAAATTGTTATTTACAATATAAACATTTGATGTGATTGGCCATTTACTGTCAAGCATTACTTTACTTAAACGGTGCTTTATTTTACGTTATTTTAGAAAGTTTATAAAATATATTGTTGGGGAAACTATTATTTCGTATGAAAGTGTATGAAGAAGAGATTCGTTGGTCGATCTCATCAGATGAGGGCGGATAAATCTCGTTGTTAACGAAAGCCTTTTACAAGAATGACACCCAGCTCTAATGATGTCCATCATATGATGGACGAAAGCTTAGCACGTTTTCA